ATATCATATAGTGTGTCATATGTGTTGTGTTTTTTGAAAGGAAGCTGAATCTTCACTGTAATCAACACCTACAAATACAGTTGTCTGACTGGCACACCAAATTTTAGCTAAATATTTTTAAGGCGGACTGAATTGTAACTATGTTGTTTGTGGTAATTGTTCCATCTTAAACTGGATTTATTCCTACATTTAATCAGCTGCAGCTGTGCATCTAATCATTATTTTCCCACAGTTCAATTAAGTCATCCATGAGATATTTTAACACAACATAGAAGCAGCGCATGTACACAAATAAAGACGAACATTATCGCTATTCAGTCTTTGGGTTTCTTTAGCAAGATAAACAATAAGGTTACCTTGACTGTGATGAATCCGTCAAATGCAGTTTTCTCCTTGTTCAGCGGTAAAAGCAGCGGGTTGTCTTTAACTAATGAACACTCCATCATCACGGTTTGTTTAACTCACTTACAGCTGCTAACTTCTGATCAAACAGCGATCTTCACAGTAAAAACAAGCATAAAACTTAGCGTTTATAGTCATACAGACGCTTCATTTCACATCTGAGCGATAATATTTCAGCTGGTGCTGCTTATAAGCACTAAAACAACGACTGAAAAACCGAAAGTAAAATATCTCAAACCCGCCATTACAACCAAAACAGGCGACGTCACAAGGATGCATTCACGGGTTTTCAAAAGTGTCGGAATTTCTGACGGAGACGCCAGAACGCAGAAGCTGTCATCCTTCATTAGAACAACTCATAAAAAAATCATTTAAATAAATTATATTATTTAAAGTCCTAACATTATTAAAGGAATGCATAATAATTTAATAATTCATTCACGTTGCCTTTCATGCCTATGTGTTAGTTTAAGATAAATAATATCTTGTTCAGAAGTCAGGTGTTGTAGCTGTTTTGGAAACCACGTGACCTTGTGATCGGCTGTAGAAGCTGTGATGTGCATGTCGATACTGAAATATCGATACTACCGATATCAGAACTTTATGTTATAGAGTCGATACTAAAATCAAAATATCGATACTTTGAGACTTTAGTTATTTCACATAATGTATATCATTAACAGGAAAATAGTGTAAAAATAATTAAACTATTCAAATTTTGTCTAAATCATGTGGTTGGTGGGAACTACTTTTTCTTCTGCTTGAGTAATGCATAAGCACAGTGGCATGTGCTCAGTCAGCCACTCACTCTGTAGGCGTATGGCAGGTCATTTTAACATAAAATCTGTTTCGTCTGACAGTCTGTATTAAATTCTGGATGAGGGGTTCCCAAACTTTTTCATCCATGGGCCCCCCAAACAGCATTAGCTCCGGACAGGGACCGTCTTGCAAACCCACAAACAATGCTACAAAATATATAAAGTAACAACTTTAAAATACTTCTCACTTTTATTCACTATTCAAAAATGTTTTTATTTCTCTAGAATAAGAATTTAAAATTATGCTGTACAAATGTAGGGTTAGGGTTAGAAATAATTTTAGATTAAAGAAATTACTTATTTATAAAGCAGTTATTTGAAAAAAAAAAGATTTACCMGACACATTATGTGTGTTATCACAAAATATCAGTATCGGATCAGTATCGCCGATACCAGCCACGTTGTACTTGGTATCAGTATCGGAAAGAAAGTTAGCAGTAGTGAACATCACTATATTACCCGCTCAACGAAGGAACACAGAAAAACTCAACTCAAACTCTGTTTGATTTTATAGATTGAAAGTACTCTTTTGTAATAGGGTTTTAACATCAAGAATAGCACTATGGTGGTAGTATCGTACCAAAACCTTTGTGAGCACAAACAATTTGCGCGTGAGCAAATTCATATTTCGTGTGCGCAAATTAATATTGGCGCAAGCAAAAATTATATCTGCAAGAGGAGAATACAGATTTTCACAAGCGTAAATAGTGATCTGCTCGCATGCAGGTAGAATTTCTCCCTCTTGCCTCCTCCTGCTTGCTCGCTCGCCGTTAACACTTTTGGCAGGTAGTGTTACCTGCAGGCAGTTAACAGCAGTAGAGCTGAAGAACTGATGTTGATGTCTGAGATCTTCAGTCTTTGTAAATTATATTGTGATGTTATTGTGATTGTAATATTATGATGTCAAAAATTGAGTTTACACAGTGACTTTGCTGTTGTAAATTGTATTTTACTGTTGTGGAAACACAGTTGTACTTAATCATAATTTAGTAACGAACTAAAAAACAACCAGTCAGATTATATTATACTAATACCATCATCCCAATGCCAAACAATGTCATTTCACATTGGTCTATCAATACAATAACAGTAAAATAAAATGCAAACTGCAATAAATTTGTGTAATTTTTTTTTTGTATTTTAACATTCTGAAATACTTTCATAATTATCTGGCTTCTCTGTTGCCCTGCTCCAGCACTAATGCACATTATGGCCAGGTTTGGATCTGCTATACACAAAAAAGGTGTGTTCTCATGATCAGTATGACAAAACATTATTTTCATGCTGAACTGGATGATCATTGTGATAGCTTTGCTTTTAACTTATTGGAATCTAAGATGTTTAAGAATGAATGTTATATAAGGACTTCTTAAACGTATTGTTTATCTTACACAATTCTGTTAAATTCTCAGTTTACCTGTCATACTTAAATGTTTGAAAGACCCCAGGATGGACTTGGGAGACTGTTATGGACTAATTATTTACATCTCATTTACAAGGGCCCCAGCCAATGGTCGGATTTCCAGGACGCCCGTCTGAGGTTCCTCACCAGGATGTGGTCACCAGGCCTCAGGTTGTGGAGGGGGTGGTCCGCCGGGGTTGGGAGAGCAGCTTTTACCTGCGAACGAACACAGTCGAAAAGAGAGGACAATTTAGAACAGAAGCCCAACATCTTATCTTCACACAGATTTGTGATCTCCATTTATCATTTGTTGTTTAACTTGTCTAAATCTGTTAACTTAGAAGTAAACGCCTATCGGCATCTTCTTTGATCTGCCTTGTCTTAATTTGCTTTACTTAAGGTTCATTTATTGACAACTTAAGTTAACACATTATCCAAGATAAGGTTCTGATGGCACATAAGTGGTACATGTCACACTGGGAGGCAGAACTTGTGTTGTGATACCTTGTCTAAGTTTTGGACTTTTAAGTTTTTTAAATTTTGACATGTTTTTTTTCCTTCATCGATTCTTCTGATGTGTAATGATTTTCTATTTGTCTTTAAGCCTTTTTCCTGTTGTATCTTGCATTTTTTGAATGTATATGTGTTATGAATTTCGGGCAGGAATGAATCCATGATGCAGGCAGTTTCAAAAGTCAAAATTTATTTAAACAAAAAGTGCACAAGGGTAGCTCAAAAAAAAAAACTCACAAGGCTTGGTAGGGCAGGACAATACAGAACAATGATCCGACAGGGAAGTGAAGACAACACGCAGAATTTAAAGGTGAGACTAACGAGCACAAACAGAAATCACCTGGGAGAGAAACATGAGGAGCAGGTGAGAGTGGGCGGGGCTGGAGCAAAGGCAGACAGGAGGAAGAAAACAGACAACAAGACAGAAACTAAAATAAAACATTAATACAGACAACAATCATAAAAACATATTACCTTCCAACACTCAGGTAAACTTTGTTAAGAGAGACAGTTGTTATTATCTAAAGG